ACACACACACACACACACACACAGAGATCCGTTTCCAATACACTCCCAGAGAACAAATGACGATAAAACTCCTTAAGGCAGCTCATGTTACATCACCTCAGTCCTGGCAGCTGAAATCGCTGTGGTGTTGTTATAAACCAAACACCGAGTCCGGTTACCGTGACCAATTTGTTAACGTGATGGAGCTGTTAGCGTTGAAGAGGGCGGCCAAGTCAAGTTTCACTGAGACTTTATTTTCTTCATCCCGACCCACTTCATGAGCTTTGAAGTCGCTGGACTGCTCATATGTGCTGTTCTATAGTCAGCATTTCCCGGTGAAAGCGAAAGGTCAGTTAGATTAATAGCCTGATGTGTTTATGGATTTGTCTGCAGGCAACCGTGGACATTACAAAGAAGACGTTTGTTCTGGCTTAATTGCATACTGTACATCCATTTAATATGAAAAATGATACAGTGGCCTGCCTTAGAAAGCTTATTTTTGACGTTTGTTCATTTTTAAAGTCTGCACAAACCGGAAGTTGCTGAGAGTTTTACTTTAAGTATGTTGATATACTTCCAACTGAAACGAAATATTAAGAAGGGGGCGGGGCTTTCTTTTTGCCTATCGTTCCCGCATAGTAACGGTAAGAGGGCGTGGTTAAGAATGTTGTGGCTAAAGCTTAGAAGCTTCAGTTGCTATCTGTCAGACTTTAATTGAAGATTACGGAGGCAAGGCTAGACAGTGCTGACCACTTAGCCACCGTGCCGCCTCAGAAAAACAATGTGCGCTAATCCATTGAGATATATGTGATGATATATGAGATATATAGTGCCAAATGGCACTAAATATTCCATGACGCTATTAAAAAAATGAAACCAAGAGTCATCTATGTTCAAATGCTGCTACAAACTTTCTCAAATGAACTTTAGCATTACTTTCAGTGCCTATTTTTTCATTAAACATCTCTTTGTTTACATCACTACATGATTGGCTACTGCTTGAAGCAGGTGGTATTAGGGGGAGGGGCTTGCTCATTCAGCAGCGTATTTGACTGGATAAAAATGTGTAGTGCAAGGCGAGTCATCAACACATTCTCTTTTGTTTTCATGTCAGATATTTAAGCTGCATTTATATTAAAAGCTAATTAGGTCAATGCTTTTAAGTGTAAGATACTTTTAAAAATAAAATATGCAAAACAATTTTGGATACATGCGAAAATGCATAATAATGAGGGATACATTTTTTTTAAACTTAAGGACTATTTAAAAATGGCCAGACTGGTCTAATCTGATAGAAAGGCAACAGTAACTCAAATAACCCCTCGTGACAACGGTGGTCTGCAGAAGAGCATCTCTGAACACACAACACATCCAACCTTGAGGCAGATGGGCTACAGCAGCAGAAGACCACAGCGAGTGCCACTCCTGTCAGCTAAGAACAGGAAACTGAGGCTACAATTCGCACAGGTTCACCAATATTAAACAATTGGGAAAATGTTGCCTGGTCTGATGAGTCTCGATTTCTACTGCAACATTCAGATGGTAGGGTCAGAATTTGGCGCCAACAACATAAAAGCATGGATCCATCCTGCCTTGTATCAACGGTTCAGGCTGCTGCTGGTGGTGTAATGGTGTGGGAGATATTTTCTGGGCCCATTAGTACCAATTGAGCATCGCGTTAATGCCACAGCCTACCTGAGTATTGTTGTTGACCATGTCCATCCCTTTATGACCACAGTGTACCATCTTCTGATGCCTACTTCCAGCAGGATAACACACCAAATAATAAAGCGTGAATCATCTCAGACTGGTTTCTTGAACATGAGAATGAGTTCACTGTACTCAAATGGCCTCCACAGTCACCAGAGCTCAATCCAATAGAGCACCTTTGGGATGTGGTGGAACAGGAGCATCATGGATGTGCAGCCGACAAATCTGGAGCAACTGCGTGATGCTATCATGTTAATATGAAGCAAAATATCTGAGGAATATTTCCAGTACCTTGTTGAATCTATGCCACGAAGGATCAAGGGAGTTCTGAAGGCAAAAGTAGGTCCAACACGGTACTAGTAAGGTGTACTTAATAAAGTAGCCAGTGAGTGTAAAATTAATAGTAGTAGTTTGCTACAAACTACTCTTTTGGCATACTATTTTTTTTTTTATTAATTTAATTGTCTTTGCTTAACACATATACCACACTTTTACAAATATTTTGTCATCAAATGCAATGGCATGCATATCTTGAGTGTCTTAGATGTCCAAACATGTCATTTCAGAGAGCTCTGATTAATGACCAGCGCATGTCAGTCAGTTAAGCTGCAGAAAAACAGTTTTGCACGTGTTCGATGCTTTAGTGGATCAGGCCCGCTGAGAAAGGGTCACCGCGCGGTTTTCAAAGAAAAGCTGATTGAAGGTGGAGATCTAGAAGAAGATGCTCTTTGTGTGAAGCCTTTGCAAACACGTTAAGCAAGCGCGTCTCATGCAGGCTATTTCAGTGCACATCTTGGCTTTTCCCACGACGGCAGAGAGAGATAGTGTAAAGGGCTTTCATAACCTCTCGCACATGGTCTCTCGCCCTGCCGCGCTCAGCTGAACGTCTAGACACACAATGTGAACTCTGTTGGGACGTTAAGGCCATGTTCACCATGTCAGTTCAAACATTACATCGTAGTTAAATAAGGAATCTTTTTTAATATTCTTAGAACCAAGCATATTTATAGACATTTCAGAGACTTTAAAGTTCCCTAATTTTGTCTTGGAGTTTCCTGACATTTTTTAATAACATCTATTGGAGAATCAGGTCCTTTTCTGTGTTCGAAATGGTTGGTTTAAGAGTCAGGTTACTCTAAGCTCCGCCTTTCAGAGAGTCTACCTTACTCTGATTGGTCGAAAGTTATCAGGTCTTTAATAATGCTCCCAAAATGGTATTTTTAAAATAAAATGTCAATAATTGTTTCACAATGTACTTTTGAAAGTATCATTATCATCATGTTTGTAAAATAGAAAGTTTGGATGGACATTTTTAACATTCAGTTTTTCAACAGTTTATAATATCCATTGGAGAATCAGCTTGTTTTTTTCAGTTTGAAATGGTTAGAATGTAGTTCCTCTAAGCTCCGCCTTTTAGAGAGTCTACTGTACTCTGATTGGCCGGAATTTATCTGGTTTTTAAAAAGGTGCCCAAAATTAGTATTTTTATATTGTTCATGGAATTAAAATAAATAAATAAAACTCAGTTCGGTATGTATCACAGTTTTAGTGTCACGGTTTCGGTATGGTATGTACTATGTTTAGAACAAAAAAGACTACAGAAACGAACACCTGACAATGCAACACTTTATACATTCATTCATTCATTTTCTTTTCAGCTTAGTCCGCTTTATTAATCTGGGGTTGCCACAGCGGAATGAACTGCCAACTTATCCAACACGTTTTTACGCAGAGGATGCCCTTCCAGCAGCAACCCATCTCTGGGAACCCCCACACACACTCATACACTACAGACAATTTTAGCTCACCCAATTCACCTGTACCGCATGTCTTTGTACTGTGAGGGAAACCGGAGCACCCGGAGGAAACCCACACGGATGCAGGGAGAACATGCAAACTCCACACAGAAACACCAACTGACCCAGCCGAGGCTTAAACCAGCGACCTTCTTGCTGTGAGGCGACAGCACTACCTACTGCACCATTATGTCGCCCCGCTTTATGCATGTTCTCTCATTACTAAGTAATAGTAGGGCATTTTAAAAATTGTATGTTCAAATAAAATGCTTAAGAAAAATAATGAGAAAAAGCTTGCAATATATATCTTTAATAATGCAAATGCTAATTATGCATATATATATATATATATATATATATATATGTATATATATATATATACATATATATATATACATATAAATTTTTTTTATGCCAATACTTGCTTCACAATATACTTTCAAAAGTATGATTATCATTATGTTTGTAAAATGAAAAGTTTGCATAATCAAGAAATAAATAGTAATAAAATGGACATTTTTAATTTTTAATAACATTTTGTAATATTTATTGGAGAATCAGCTCTGGTTCAGCTTTGGTTTAAAAACTTAGTACCGTTAGCGCAATGGCCTAGTGGTTAGCGTGCCTACATAAGGAGCAGTAGCACGTCAGGGCGTCCCGAGTTTGAATCCCGGCTCGAGGACATTTCCTGACCCTACCCCCCTCTCTCTTCAACTTCCCTTCCTGTCTCAATACTGTCCTATCTAATAAAGGCAAAAAGGCCAAAAATAAATCTTTAAAAATAGAAAATAAAAATCTACTACCTCTAAACTCCGCCTTTCAGAGAGTCTACTCTACTCTGATTGGTCGGAAATAACATGGTCTTTAATGATGCTCCCAAAATGTTGTTTATGGAACATTTTAACAAATATTTCATTTATTTTTTAAAAATATCAATACTTTCAAAAGCCCCATTATCATGATGTTTGTAGAATGGAGAGTTTGCATGATCAGGAAATACATATTCTTAACATTCATACATCAGTTTTAATTATATCCATTAGAGAAGTAGCTCTTGTTTTCATTGTTTGAAATGGACGGTTTCTAGTCCTTCTAAGCCAGGGGTGCTCAATCCTGTTCCTGGAGATCTACTTTCCTGTACAGTTTAGCTCCTACCCTTATCAAACCCACCTGAACCAATTAATTAGGACCTGCAATCCACTTGATAATTACAGACAGGTGTGTTTGATAAGGGTTGCAACTGAAATCTGCAGGAAGGTAGATCTCCAGGAACAGGATTGGCCACCCCTGTTCTAAGCCCTACCCTAAGAAAGTCTGCTCTGCTCTGATTGGTCAGATGATTGGCCCAGTCTCTTAGTATAGGTCTAAATCAAATGTCAATTACCATATATTATTTTGATCTTTTCCTCAGCGTTTGTAAACAAGTGTGAACCAAAGACAGCATAAAATCAACATCATTTCTACTGTGATTATTTGACTGAAATCAGTTGGACTGTTAAAAAACGAAAACATATGTTAAATTCAAAACATTCAAGTGAAAATTTATTTGATTTAAGAGATTCTAATGTAAACAACCGATTGAAAGTGAATAAAAAAAACTGACAGACAAATCTCAGGATGATTTGTTTTCACGGTTCTGCACTTTCATAAAACAGTATTTCATAGACAAACATAGAAACACACACGATTCAACTGACTGAACACAAACTCAATGAACTATAGACAACACGGCAGTAGTAAAACATAGGCTGGAAGTGGGACTGAAGCCCCACAGTCTGTATTGTACGATTATTAAAAATGGCCTACTAATACGATTTCATTTAGTCTCGCTTATCACATTCAGTTCAGTTTTCTTCATATTACTGTACAAAGATTGCACTTCTAATACTGTTCGTTCCCTTTAGACGTTTTGGTTAAAGTTCATCGGAATACTGTGATTTACTAGAAAACTCCAGACAAGCGTCGTCTGATATCCTGGGTGAAATTCAATCGAAGGCAGAATTAATAATGAGGAATGGTTTTAAAGTCATGATTAAAACGTATCGATCTAGAAAAGTGTACATCAAAACTAGATGGGAAGCCATCTACGTCTCAGGACATTACAAACACGAGCCATGCATGTTTTCGGAACAGACATTGCACATTGTATTCTGGATTTAGACACAAACATGCTATTCTTCGAAAAAAACGTAAACTATTATTTGGCATTTCAGAAGTAAAAGACAATATTTTCCATCCAAAACAATACAATCAGACACATTCTCGAACCTAGACGATGCGTATAAATAAAAACCAACAATAGGCTCCTGATTATTAAGTTAATAAAATCAAATATACACAATGATTAATTAAAAAATATGTACAAAGTCAACTATACAACATCTAAACCGACAGCGAATTTCTTCATTTAGGACAGTAACTAACTTGTCTGTACACGTGTGTGTGTGTGTGTGTGTGTGTGTGTGTGTGTGTGTATAAAGAGCAGAATAAATAAAAATGTGCTGTTGGAAAAAAATAAAACAATAAATCCAGTCAAGAACCCAATGAATGGGAGTTAAATACAATCTTCAAGCACACGATGCACCAGCGATCATCAATTTTTGGAAATGATTCACAACTAATTATGGCACTTTCAATTTTTACAATATAAAAAATGCAATACAGTTTGCGTTTTCAACAACTCGGCGACTCACGAAATTTCCCTGTCTCATTTCATCCAACGAAATGATCTATTTTATAAAAACAATGGTTTAGTATGCTATACTATTAAGGTTAAGCACAGTCCCCTTTAATTCTCATTTCTTATACGCGAAAACAACATAGTTTGAGCGCAATTGTCATTACTGTACTGTCATATAAAAATATTTAAGCACCATTGTAGTTTTATTTTTATATTACGAAAATTGGCATTTAGAATTTAAATAATGCCAATGTTGATACAGATATAGTTACCAATACCGATAACATTGTTAATACTGATACCGATACCAATAACAATGTCGACACTTATACCAATACTGATAACGATAACAATGTTGATACTGATACCGATACCAGTAACAATGTCAATACTGATAACAATAACAATATTAATACTGATACCTATACCAATAACAATGTCGATACTGATACCAATACTGATAACGATGCCAATGTTGATAATGATACCTATACCGATACTAATACCAATACCGATAAAAATGTTGATACTAATACCAATGCCAACACTTATATTGATATCAATACTGATACCAATAACAATGGCTATACTGAAACAAGCACCAAGATCGACACTGATGCCAATGTTGATACTGATACTGATAACTATGTTGATACTGATACCAATACTAATGCCGATAACGATTTCATACTGATATCAATACCAACATTGATACCGATAACAATGTCGATATTGATACCGATAAAGTTTTACAATATTTTTGCTTAAAAAAAACACGAAAACGTCATCAATGCGTCGTCAAAAGCATCATTCATCAAATAATAATAATTAAAATTATTACATATTTTTTATTTATATCTTTTTAAATCTCATTTACTCAATTAAAAAAACATACAGAATAAATAAATAAATAAAAATGAAATAATACAATAACTTTTGGAAAAAGTATAATATTTTTATCGAAAAATATTTGTAACGCTATCTTCATTGATGGAAAATTGGATTCAAATTATAGCATTACAAAATTTTTTTTAATAAAAATATGCTTATGATATGAATGTGCTTAGCTGTCATTAAAACAATATTTAAAAAATGACATCATACTGTAACTCTCAATTCCATAATGAAAAAAATATATAATAATTAACAATGTTCGGAAATGGTTTACGATGAAAAGCATTTGCATTTAGTATGAAAAACTTTATATAGCAATGAGAATTCAGGGGAACAAATATGTGCTTAATTGTCAATACGTCAACACATTCATATCTACAAATCAGGGGATGAACTGCGACCAGGAAACGTCTTCATGAGATTCATGCAATTATCGAAATTGAATGACGCTCCATTCTCGTTCTGCTTTTGTAGATTTGTCTAGAAGTTCTGCGCAGATTCAGACATTGACGCGCATTAAAAAATAACCCGGACCAGCCTGTGGCCCGTCGTTCTGCAACATCTGAACGAACACTAATAACAATAACCTTACCGATTTACAAAAGATGTCTTGGTTTACACTCCTTCGCTCTTCCGCGAATGCAACGAGCGCTATACGATATACTCCATTTTCTGCAAGCTGTGTTGCGAGTCTCTGTGCTGTGAATCTGGCACCCGGTGCTGCGACTCAAGGTCTCTATTGTCGCGTTTATTTGTCCATTGGGGGTGTTTCTTTATGTCTGTGCCATTGGAGCTCAACCTATCATCTCGGTCCACCAGCATATAAGCTGGCTGATGTGGAAACCGTGTTTTTTGTAGTCGTCTACTGGCGTCAGATTCAGGGAATTGCGTCCTGATTTTGGCGTTGACTGTGTTTTTGTCGTCACAGTGCAACTCTTTTCCTGGCAGGCTGCCGTTTGAGGCATTTTTCTCAATGTGGTTCTTGATCTGGTTGAGATGCTCGCGGGCGTTGTTCGCTGTGTTTTCTTCAGGTGTGGAGAAGGGGCTGGTAGGGTTGATGGCGGTGGCGCTGGAGCTTTGTTTACGGTGATGACGGATGCACCACAGGAACACTGACGCCAGGGCCAAAACCCAGATTGCAGTCACGACCGAAACTAGCAGCGGCACCATGTAGTCTACTGAACGAGAGAAACAATGGAAATGGATGAAGATAAGCTGGTGTAACATCAGATCTTCATAGCATCAGAGTTTATGCTAAGGATTATATACACTTTTTTTTTTTTGGAGTTATAAAGATTTTTTAAAAAGTATCTTATGTTTACCAAGGATGTATTTATTAGATCAATAATACAGTAAAAACTAGAGAAGCAAGATAATATTAATAAAAATGTTTAATTCATAACCAAAGCTGATTATTCAGAGTGATATCTGCCGATATCAATAGCAATGATGATTCTCATACTGATACCAATACTGGTACCAACATAAAAATGGTTATACTGAAAACAATAGCGAGGTCGATACTGATGCCAATGTTGATACCGATACCAATACGGATACCGATAACAATGTTGATATGGATACCGGTACCAATACTGATACCAATAACAATGTCGATACTGATAAGGATACCAATACTGATACCAAAAACAATGTTGATACTAATACCGACACCAATACTAATAACGATGCTGATACTGATACCAATTCCAATAATAATGCCGATAACAATGTCAATATTGATACCAAAATCAACACTGATACCAATACCAATGTTCATACTGATACTGATAACAATACTGCTACCGATAACAGTTATGATACTGATACAGATACTAATACAGATAACAATACTGATACCAATAACAATACTGATACCGATAACTGTTATGATACTGATACAGATACTAATACCGATAACAATACTGATACCGATAACAGTTATGATACTGATACAGATACTAATACAGATAACAATACTGATACCGATAACAGTTATGATACTGATACAGATACTAATACCGATAACAATACTGATACCGATAACAATACTGATACTGATAACAGTTATGATACTGATACAGATACTAATACCGATAACAATACTGATACCGATAACAATACTGATACTGATAACTGTTATGATACTGATACAGATACTAATACCGATAACAATACTGATACCGATAACAATACTGATACCGATAACTGTTATGATACTGATACAGATACTAATACCGATAACAATACTGATACCGATAACAATACTGATACCGATAACTGTTATGATGCTGATACAGATACTAATACCGATAACAATACTGATACCGATAACAATACTGATACCAATACTGATACTAATGTTGATACTGATACCAATACCAATGTCAATACTGATACCTATAACAATGTTGATACAGATACCAATACTGATAACATTTTTGATAGTAATACTGATAGTTTGGTGGTTATACAAATTAGCATTTTTCCTGCCTTATTTTGATTGAGAATATAATTTAACCTTATAGTTGGCTGATTTTTAGCAATAAGCTGATACCGATTATTGGCCGATACATTAACACTAAAAACAGTAATACTGTGAAATTTAATTTATTTTTACATTTTTAAATTCATTTAAATGGTTGTATTTATTAATGTTCTTTTATTGTTGACAAAAAGTGTTATTATTACGTAAATAATATTGAAAACATGCATAATATTTAAAAATGCTGTGTATTCCTGTGAGAAAAGCTAGATGGTCCTTAAGCAGTCATTATGATGTTTTTTGTTCAAAAGAACAACATTTATTTAAAATACAATTTCTGTAACATGAATTTACTGTCACTTTTGATAAATTTAATGCAATCCTTGCCCAGTAAAACGTTCTTTCAAGACTGTTTCCTGTAAAGTTTAAGAGCTTGCTGTGATGTCTCACCGTTGGGGTTTTGCGGTTGTTTGCGCTGCACTCGAACCTCAGCGATGGAGCCGATGACGGAGCTGTTAGCACTGTGTTTGCTCACCAGATCAATGATGTTGTCTGTAATTTCCTTAACAGGAACCCGGCCATGAATGCCGTTCTCAGTCACATGCTAGAAAACACAACATTTTTTTTTTTTTATTCAAGTCATTTTTTTATGACTTAAATGTTCTAATTTAAATAAAGCAAAATGAAATGCATTACGGTAAATATTTAACAACACAAATACAACAAATAAAAATAAAATAATCAAGAATAATAGTGTTATATAGTATTCATTTTATTTGAATTATATAAATTCCATAAAAATGACAAAATAGAACAATAATAATATAATACATTATTATACACCATTATGAATTCGATATTTCTTGTCATTCTTTAATACCATATGGATAATAAGACATTTCATAAAAAATTGCAAATAAAAGTTTATTAGAGTTATTTTGCGCTAAATCACTCACAATGGCCACATGGATCTCGTTACTGGCGGCAGAAGAGAGTTCACAGCTCACAGAGATGGAAAACTCTGATGTAACATTTTTAGTCACATAAAGATGCCTGAGTTCACGACAAACCTGCTCCACCGTCACCCCCTGAGAACCAAACACAACATATAAACATACATAAGAAAACATTTATATATATATATACCGATTATAGACAACGTTATAAAACATATGAATTAAAGTCGCCATGAAACCGATATTAAAACCTCTCCGTCAAACAGAAATTGGGGGAAAAATATAATAAATCGGGAGGGCTAATAATTCTGACTTCAAGTGTACATATAAAAATAAGAAGGGCAAATTTAGATTTCATGGTGACTGAGCATCACCATCTATCCCATATTTAAAGTGATAGTTCCAAAAATTAGACTTGCATTTCATGAATTAAAAACAACTACATGTTAATCAAAAAAAAATCTAAGAAAAAATGTCTCCTTCATATTGAATGTCCTGAAGCTGAGTAAATTATCTGCATGTTATCATTTTAAGTGTGAACTCTCCTTTTAAAGTCCTCACCTGTGGCATGGTGTCCTTGTTGAAGGTGAAGGTGACGTTTGCGCAGTGGCTGTCAGGTTGGCAGTGTGTGCGTACGGTCGGCCGGTGAGCAGACCAGCACTCGCCCTGGGAGGAACAGGGCTTGACGAAACACTCGCCCTGGGAGGAACAGGGCTTGACGAAACACTGCTCATCGCGGACCGGCACACACATCTGACCCGTAGGACAGTCCCCTCGACCCGAGCCAAGCATACGGCATGCTTTAGGGCCACAGAACAGCTGCCAGAGAGAGGATGAATGTGTGATTTTAAGGCAAGGCAAGTTTATTTATATAGCACATTTCATACACAATGGTAATTCAAAGTGCTCCACATACACAAGAATAAAAGAAACATAAAATACAAGTATAAGGAAATTACGACAAGGCATACAAATGATTAAAAACGTGAATGGTGAATAGGTGGATAGTAGAAAATAAACACGTACTGCTTTGATTGGCTAACAGATTTGCATATAAAAGAGATATACAGGCAGTGAAATAAAAGTAGTTGTCGCTCTTCAGGGGAGGCGGGGCTTATTTGGCTTATTACATCAGGGGTTCCCAAACTTTTCAGCCCGCTACCTCCAAAATAACAATGCCAGTGACTCGTGACCCCCAATATCTACTGAAGTGGTTATAAATACAGAAATTTTGGATGCAATGGCACACACACCCACACACACACACACACACACACACACCAATAGACCCAAGTCTATTCTTCGTTTATTTTTTTTAGTGTATGTCAGTGCTGTAAATGTGCCAGAAAGTTTAATCTGGTGTTATGAAATCAATCTGCTGCATCTGACGCTATTGCTGTGTCTTTAATATATTGGGATTACTCCAGGGGTTGCAATCTAATAGAACTAGTAACTATAAGCTATATAGTAACTATAAACAACTATTTTTTTTACTTCAGTAGGTTATGGATAAAATATGGTAACTCTTATGGTTTAAAATAAATAAATCGATTTTTGGAAATCACCAGGTGAACCCCCTCCCCCCTCTTCAGCATAGAGTAAAACACTAAAACCTGTAATTTTGGCAGACTGCATTCAATATAAGCTGTTTTATTAAATTAAAAACAAAGTTGAATTCTGTAATGGACAGGGTGTTTTTATAGTACTATGACCACTTACACTCGCCGGCCACTTTATTAGGTACACCTTACTTGTACCGAGTTGGACCCACTTTTGCCTTCAGAACTGCTTTAATCCTTCGTGGCATAGATTCAGCAAGGTACTGGAAATATTCCTCAGAGATTTTGGTCCATATTGACATGACAGCATCACGCAGTTGCTGCAGATTTGTCGACTGCACATCCATGATGTGAATCTCCCGTTTCACCACATCCCAAAGGTGCCCTAATGGATTGAGTTCTGGTGACTGTGGAGGCCATTTGAGTACAGTGAACTCATTGTTTTCAAGACACTAAAGTGTGTGGTCTTCTGCCCCTGGAACTTATCTGCCTGAAGGTTGGACGTGTTGTGTGTTCAGAGATGCTCTTCTGCTGAACTCGGTTGTAGCGAGTGGTTATTTGAGTTACTTTTGCCTTTCTATCAGCTGGAACCAGTCTGGCCATTCTCCTCTGACCTCTAGCAGCAACAAGGCATTTGCGCCCACAGAACTGCCGCTCACTGGATATGTTCTCTTTTTCAGGCCATTCTCTGTAAACCCTAGAGATGGTTGTGTGGGAAAATTCCAGTAGATCAGCAATTTCTGAAATACTCAGACAAGCCAGTCTGACACCAACAGCCATGCCACGTTAAAAGTCACTTAAATCACCTTTCTTCCACATTCAGATGTTCGGTTTGAACAGCAGCATATCGTCTTGACCATGTCTACATGCCAAAATGCATTGAGTTGCTGCTAGTTGGACAGGTGTACCTAATAAAGTGGCCGGTGAGTGCATATGTCAAAAGGGAATTTTGCTATCTTATTTCATGACCCCTTGAACTTCTGTCCGTAATTCAACAACACATACCTTAGTACATGTGACAATGCCTTTGTGGCAGTAGCAAGTATTGCAGTCTTCAGCCCACTTTGCTCCATCAACAGCAATCCGACCGCCAATCACACACGGGCGTCCTGTGACTATAAGAAACACATGCCATTTTAAATATCATCATGAGCAATAAAAAGCTTGATAAATACTATTAAATTCATTCACTCACACTTTACTTGGTTATTTTTTCTGATGAATACAAAAAAAGTTATTTTGAAGAATGCTGTAACCTGTAACCATTGACTTTTATAGTGTTTGTTTTCCCTACTATGGAAGTCAATGGTTTTGAGCTTCAACATTATTTCTTTTGTGTCCAACAGAAAAAGCAAAGCCATAAAACAGATTACATAGTGACTAAATACAATTTTTAAGTCTCCCTTTAATTTGGATTAAAGTGCAAGTATAAATAATGGGAACTGTACCTTCCTGACATCTGGGTCCGGTTCTGCCTGGTGGACACAAGCAGCGGTAGCCATTAATTTCATCCACACAGGTAGAGCCGAACGCACAGGGTGACGACTGGCACTCATTGATGTCTGTAGAGGGAAAGAGAACCGTTTTAACGTGCAATCACTCTTTATAATAAAATCGTACTACTAAATGCTGAATAAAGCATTCACTCACTGATGCGGCAGTCTGGTCCTGCAAAGCCACTGGCGCACTCACAGCGGTACCAGTTATCCCCATCCACACATGTCCCACTGTTATAACTGCACAGAGAACACATATTGATAAGATGACTTGGAAAATGATGGGAGATTTTCAAAATGTTCACAAATGTGTTCATTGTTACAAAAAATGTTAATTTAACAGGTTTCAATAAAAAATATTTAATACATTCAATTGATGCTGTATGCAGCCAAAGCTCCTCCATTAAAAAGCTACATTTGTGGTATTTTCAGGCAAAACTTGTAATTTTTTCAGCTAAAATGTATCATAATTCATCATGAAGATAAATACTGCAGTTTATCACAGTGTATGGCTATAAAATCAAATTAAATGTCATTAATAAAATACAATTAATCGCTTACCGTACATTAATAATATTTAATACATGTAAGTGGTTTAGTGAAGATGAAAGTGAAGATTAAACATTGTTTCTGGTGTTTATAAATTAAATTAAAACATAATAAAATAAAGTTTATTAAAATTATTTAAAATTTAAAAAGTTAAATTTCAATAAAAAAAAATTTGAATAAAAAAAAATTATTTAAATTAATTTAATTTAATTAATAAAAATAAAATAAAGTAAAATTAAATTAAAATAAATGTAAACAAAAATAAAAATTAAACAAAGTTAAAAAAAGTTTAAATCAAAAATATTTAAAATAAAACGAATTTAATTAAATTAATTAAATTAATTTTAAATTAGTTTGAAATAAAATAAAATATAAATTAAATAAATAAAAATTATATTAATTAAATGAATTAAAAATAAAATAAAGTAAAATTAAATTAAAATAAAATAAATGTAAATAAAATAAAAATAAAGTAAAATAAAATAAAAATAAATATGTTTAAATAAAATATATAAAATTAAGTTAAATTAATTTAAATTAGTTTAAAATAAATAAATCAAAATTAAATAAATAAAAATTTAAATTGAAATAAAATTATAATTAAATAAAAATAAAATAAATTAAATATATAAATTTAATTAAAAAAAATAATTTAAATAAAAATAACATTTATTTAAATAAAATAAAATTTGACTTAAAATCAATCTTACCATGGTTGTGGGTTGCAATCATTGGAATCTGTAAAACAAAACAGCATACATTTTGTTATTAAACACAATATAAAACACAATATCCTCTAAATAACCCTGTATTTAGAGTGAAATCAGCTTCACAACAGTATATAATGCAGATTGCAAACTTCAACTAAAAACAATCATCCATTAAAATGACATCTGCCAACAATAACTGAGAATGAAACTGCTGGCAAACCCGTTTGAAAGGATGTTAATATTTAGTTTTTCTGCTGTAAGGAACTGTCCAGTTAGTATGTAGTTTGGAAGAGAACCTTAAGCAAGCAGCAGTAGGTGAGAGTTGGAAACAGGAGGTAGACAGGAGGAGTCAAGACAGGAAGTAGTAAGGAAGTGGAACAGGAAGTGTTGCCGTACTCTGGCTGCAGGTGGGCCCTTCCCAGCCTTCTTTGCAGACGCAGGTGAAGCCGTCGCCTGTCACCACACACGTGGCTCCGTTCTCACACGGGTTCGGCAGGCAGCTGCTGTTCTTGGCTAGAAAGCAAACGGTAAGTAATTAAAAGGGGTCATGACATGAAATCAAACTTGCCTTGGTCTTTTGACATATTAAAAGTCTTTGTTCTGTTAAAACATCCAGCAAGATTTTAAAGGGATAGTTCACCCATAAATGAAAATCTACTCACTATTTCTCTGCCTTAAAGGTCCCGTTAAATTAAAATAAGCTTTTTAGATGTTACCATAAATAATAATAAAGTTTCCCTACATTGTCATAAAGAAACAAAATGTGTATGAAGATATCTGGAGAGCTTTTAATAGCTTTCTGAAGTACAATGTAAATGTTGGCAGACTACTACAACAAGAACAAGCTTAGAGGGAGTAGTGGAGTATCACGGTCTAAACATAAACTCAGGAAACACTCTTTACCTGATTTAAACATATCCCTTTTTTCTTGTTTATTTATTTATTTAATTTTTAACGGAATGGGTTAACGAGAGGGAGAATAGGGTGTAAAATGTTTGCTGTGTCTTCATGATTATTATTCTGTAACTGTGTAATCTGTTGTGATTGAAAAAAGTAATAAATTAATTGTACAAAAAAAAAAAAAAAAGAATAAAGTTTCTAGTTTGTCACTTACGCCTAAATGGATGAATGTTTTGTTTTTTTGACGTCACCTCATGCTTCAAATCTTACGACCAATCAAATGCTCTTTAGTATCTGACATGCAGGGGAGGAGCTACTTTATGTCTTATTGTATTTTTGAATAAAAGATACACATTTCAAAGCACGTCACGGGCCCTAGTTTTAAACCATTATGAGTTTCTTTCCTAGGTTGAACACAAAAAAGATATTTTGAAGAATGTCAGAAATCTGTAACTATTGAATTCCATAGTGTTTGTTTTTCTTACATTGGACATTCTTCAAAACATCTTTAGTGTTTAACAGAATAGAAAACGTTTGGAACCACTTAGGGCAGAGTAAATAGTGAGCAGAACATCATGTTTTGGTGAAACAATGCTTATTTATGAACATCATTTATTTAATCAAGCTGTAAATTTATCACTCGTTTCTAACTTCTGTTGAACACAAAAGAAGATATTTTGAAGAAAGCTGGAGGAAACGTGTAACCATTGACTTTCATAGTGTTTGTTTTTTCCTACCATGGAAGTCAATGGTTACAGGTCTCAGACGTTGTTCACATTATCTTCTTCAGTGTTCAACAAAATTAAAAAACATTTGGAACCACTGAGGGCAGAGTAAATAATGAGAAGAACATTTTTGGAGGGAACTATCCATTATTATAAGCATAACTTTTTAATCAAGCTGTAAAAATAGCTCATTTTTAGCATCTGTTGAACACAAAAGAAGATGTTTTGAAGAATGTCGGAAATCATTGACTTCCATAGTGTTTGTTTTTTCTTACTATGGAAGTCAATGGTTACAGGTTTCCAACATTATTCAAAATATCTTCTTTAGTGTTCAACAGAAAAACATGTTTGAAACCACTTAACTACTTATATTTTCATTTTTGGTTGTAACTATACTTTATTATAAACATAATTGATGTAATCAAGCTGTAAAAATAGCTCATTTGCCAAAAAGTTTGAATGTGACATCACAGGGGTGTATATATTTGCATATACTCCACCCCCACAACATTAGCTCCTCCCACCGGCATTCAGTCATTCAGTGATTTACACTCTCCTACACTGGATGCAAGCATTATGTTATATTAAAGCTGATGCAATAATGTCAGCCAATCAAAACACTCATTTACTGACAAGCTTTAAAAAACCCATCTCCTAAAATCTGAACCTAGTAGAGTCAAGATGAGGGTTATTAACATTAGTCATGCACCTCAAGGAACATAATAAAATAATAATAAAAAAAACTTAAAACTAATAATTTCTGATTCAAACATTGGTGCACTGAAATGGTCACCTCATTATATAGGGTTACCACTTTTGATACACAAAAATAAGGAAAAAACATTTGGAACCACTGAGGGCAGAGTAAATAATGAGAAGAACATTTTTTGGAGGGAACTTTCCATTATTATAAGCATAACTTTTTAATCAAGCTGTAAAAATAGCTTATATTTAGCTTATGTTGAACACAAAAGAAGATGTTTTGAAGAATGTCAGAAACCTGTAACTATTGACTTCCATAGTGTTTGTTTTTTCTTACTATGGAAGTCAATGAATACAGGTTTTCAACATTATTCAAAATATCTTCTTTAGTGTTTAACAGAAAAACATGTTTGAAAACACTTAACCACTTATATTTTAATTTTTGGTTGTAACTATACTTTATTATAAACATAATTGATGTAATCAAGCTGTAAAAATAGCTCATTTGCCAAAAAGTTGGAATGTGACATCACAGGGGTGTATATATTTGCATATACTCCACCCCCACAACATTAGCTCCTCCCACCAGCATTCAGTGATTTACACTCTCCTACACTGGATGCAAGCATTATGTCATATTAAAGCTGATGTAATAATGTCAGCCAATCAAAACACTCATTTACTGACAAGCTTTAAAAAACCCATCTCCTAAAATCTGAACCTAGTAGAGTCAAGATGAGGGCTATTAACATTAGTCATGCACCTCAAGGAACATAATAAAATAATAATAAAAAACCCCACTTTTGATACACAAAAATAAGGGACGCCCAAAATTTGGCCTTGGGGGGAAAGGGGGAGTTGGGGGATGTTGAAGACCCCCCCCCCACCCCACGCTAAAAAAAGAAAAGATTTACCACTTTTGTTGGTAAAATTTACCAAAATATCCCACTGGGTAAATCTCAACTTAAAATATGTTTTCAGGAAAGTATGAACACTTGGACATTAAAATAAACTGTCTTTTAAATCTGTGTAAACCAATGCAGTCAGTCTTTCTCTTTAACAACTCTGCAGCACAGATATAGCTGACGTTATGTTTAATACACGATTGCGTTAACTCAGCTGGTGTAAGAGAAGAAAATACTAAGGATCTAATTTTAAAGGGTGGAATTGATAACAGATTTTGGCTAAAATGTTTGTCATTATTTGCAGTATCACCTATCCAAACATGAAAACAGCACATACATAAACATTAGACGCTGTAAAAATAAAAAGATTTGATCAATTAGCCCTGACAGCAGCATATGTTTTTAGGTCATTTTTAACTTACTGAACTAAGTTAATCATATTCTTATCATATTCATATCTTAATTTTATAAGTTATGCAAGCTGTTTTAAGTCAGGGAGGGGGTGGAATGATTTGCAATGAAAAGCTACTTTAAAGATTTATGAAAATACAGGACAAAACCCGTCCCTTATTGATTCAAAACAGGACGCGCAATTTCATTCTCAAATACGGAACGATTCTGTATTTCAAGGGACGGGTGGCAACCCTACCTATATTACACGTTGCTCCTTCCCATCCGGGTGAACACAAGCACTTGAACGAGTCGCCTTCATCTGAACATGTTCCTCCGTTGTTGCATGTGTCTTCATCGCATTGACTCTCGCCTAAAAATGAGAAGAAATCAGCCATCTCAGAAATCATGAGACTTTATTCAGAGGAGTTTACAATGCATTTGATATAGTTTTGCTGGCAGAATTAAAACAATAAACATCATAAATATTTTGATTCATCAGACTAGTCCCTAATTTAGGCTTCAGAGGGGAAAATGACATTAAAGCCTGCAAATTGTCAATCAGGTCAATGAATCATTGTTCAAATTGTCTATTTTAATGAGATGATTCAGATTTGTGATTCACTTGGACTGTCACTCAAATGATTACATATAGTTAGTCTATAATCGGAGACACATCCTTTTTTGTCTATATGCTCCAGACACTTTCCAACAAACATTTTGTTATAAGGACTATAATAATAATCCAAATAATAATAATAATAATAAAAACAACATGCTAAACTAACTTAGACTTGTCGTGACATGTAAACATTGCTGTTCTGATGATCTGAAGTACTTCTTTTATAAATGTAAACAAACCCTAAAACAACACTTGACACAAATTAAATGAGATTACACTAAGTGCTAGATAATCTAACACAATAGTAAATGTATGCCAATGAGGAGGCGGGGCTTACGTGAGTGACAGGTCTTTCCCTTCCAGCCGTTCTCACACTCGCAGTAAAAGTCATTGACCAGGTCACGACACACTCCTCGATCTCGACATGGGTTCGTGCGGCAGTCGTCAATGTCTGTTCCAGAAACAAATTGTGTTTCAGCTCTAAATATAATGACAGAAATAACAGTGGTTTGAGGGTGTGATGCACTCACTGGTCTCGCAGTTTGGTCCTTCCCATCCGTCAGCACAGATACACTGATATGCATTGATTTTGTCAATGCAAGTGCCTCCGCTGAGACAGGGGCTGCTTTCACAGTCATTGATGTCTGTAGAGAGGAGTGACAGATGTGCTGGTGAAACTTAGAGACATATAATGTGCTTTTTGTGCTAAAGAACACACTAGGCTTGAACGATTCATTTTTAAGCTATGATTATACAAATTTGAAACAGTTAAAGGCTGTGATTAAACTGTGGTCACATGATATGCAACAGTAAATAGTCTTCAGGTTAGCATGGTAAGCTGAATCTTGACGTGGTCAACCCAGGCTCATTCTGAGAACATATCGATATATACATTTCTGGAGAGCGCCAAATACATCCCAGGAGGTTTGATTTTTTCACCAGCACCCACCCACTTCTCTAGAGCCAACCGACAGTTTTAAAAAGCAATCCAGGAAAAGAAAAGCCCTGAAGCGTCTGATTTTTACCACCTTTTCAGATTTTTCCACATTCTCACCCTGTTGTTTACTTGTTTATTTAAGTTTTTTGGTTCTGTTTTTGTCTTCTCCACTTTCTGGAAGCGTTCTTCACTGGACTCGAACCCCATTATCGTGGTCAACTCTCTGCATCTCAAGTCTGTCGACATACATGGCGAGCTACCTGGACAAACTGGTAACAGTGGGAAAGCTGTCCATATGAAGCTAAGCATTCAGCTGGTAAGCGTGAAAAGGAACGGTGTAATAAAATGCAACCATATGTATCTCTGGCTACATAATTCGCGATCTCCAGAAATGTATATAGGGGTACATTTTCAGTATGAGCCTATGTTGCATGTGGTACAATGGCAACTCATCAAACTGAGGTAAAAGCTATGAAACCAGTTGTGATTCGCCACTAGGGGGCAATCTGAATGAATCCGCATGATTCGTGTGAAATTTACAGGTTTACACAGATCGCCCCCAAGTGGAGAAACATTGAATTGTCAAAACGCTTTGCAACATTTATGACGTAACAAAGCCCCGTTTACTACTTTTAACTCTTTTCTCTCCATATGCACCAGACACTTTCCTACAAACATTTCGTTATTCAATAATAATAATAATAATAGTAATAAAAATGTATTAAATTAATAAATGTAAATTAGCTGTGTAAAACATGTGCCAGAGTAGTTGGAGGTTCATTCCTCTGTGGCGAATCAGAGACTAAGCCAAAGGAAAATAAATGAATAAATGAATGAATAATAAATGTAAATGAAAGCATGAAAATCCATGACCAAGCCAATTTGACACGCGCTCTGAAACTGCTGATTCAAAACAAAAGATTCGTAAAGCTTCATGAAGCAGTGTTTGAAAAGCAGACCAGTGTTTATCCATTCCCCTTCTTTCAACTTTGATTTATGTTTTGGGGCGACAGATGGGCTCACTGTCACCTTGCAGCAAGAAGGTCGCTGGTTCGAGTCTCGGGTCAGTTGGCAGTTCTGTGTGTGAGTTTGCATGCGCTATAGGTGAATTTGGTCAACTAAATTGGCCGTAATGTATAAGTGTGTCTGTGATTGTGAGAGTGTATGGGTGTTTCCAAGTACTGGGCTGCGGCTGGAAGGGCATCTGCTGTGTAAAACATATGGTGGAATAGTTGGCGGTTCATTCCACTGTGGTGACCCCTGATAAATGAATTTATGATTTGGATTTGCTGAACTCTTTCAATAAACACCTGTAAATGGATGTGAACTCTGGCTGTCTTATATTCACTTACTCTCGTGGCAGTAGGTCCCGGTGAAGCCGTCTTGACAGTCGCAGCTGAAGTGTCCTCCGGCATGGCTGTGGCTACGGCAGCGGCCGTGTGGACCGCACACACTGGAAGAGATTAGCCTCAGACCGCCTGGGGTGCTGTTTGACACCACCGCCACCGTACAGCTGTCAATCACTGCAGGACACAACAAAGAGCACAGGGTTTAATGAGAGCGGATGGTCAAAGTGTGTGTCTTCTTAAAGTTGAGATGGTTGCTGATAATCTATGTAGTCTTAAATTTAGTTTGACAAACATGGACTATCAATCTAGATCTAGAAACCAAACTAATTTTAGCTTGACTCTTTATACAGTTTTCATGAAAATAAACTATTTTTGTTTAAATTACTTGCAAATTATTAATTAGCAATTATTAATATTTATTATAATATTCAATAATACCTCATATATTTTTTTAAATTTACAGCATAATAATTATTATTGCAATAATGAAAATAATTATAATGTCGATATGAATATTTATTAGAATATTTAGTAATATTTTCTTAAGTGTTTTAAAGTATAATAATAACTGCAATAATTATAATAATAAAATAATATGAATATTTATTGGAATATTTAATAATATTTAATATATTTTCATAATTGTTTTAAAAGCAGAAAAATAATTGAAAAAATAATATTTAAGAATATTCATAACAATATTTATTATATTTAATAATAATGCAAATCATATTAAGTGTTTTACAGCATTATAATAATAAGAGCAATAATAATAATTATTATTATTATTATATGAATATGAATATGTATTTGAATAATTATTAATAATTCATATACTATTTTCTTAATTATTTTACGGCATAATATTAATAATTTAAATATTAATAATTATTATAAAAATATTCATAATAATATTTTTTAGAATATTTTTTAATTATTAATATCATATTTTCTTAAGTGTTTTAAAGCATAATAATATGAATATGAATAAGAATATTTGTTGGAATATTTAATAATATTTAATATAATATTTTCTTAATTGTTTTACAGCATAATAATAATAATAATAATAATAATAATAATAATAATAATGATGATGATAATAATAATAAATTGAAATTACTAATACTGGTTTATATTAAACTAATATTTTCTTTATGTTTTACAAACAACAAATTACTAATTAATTATAATAGTATTAATTTTGTCATTACAGTGTAATAATAATGGTATTAATAATATTTTTATCAATAATATTATTTAACATTTATATAATTCTTTTTCAGTCTTTTACAGCTAAATAATATTACAATACTAACAGTAACCACCACAATATAAGTAATATTTAGTATACAATATAAATAAGTAATTATTACATTATAACAACATCATTATTTTTGAATTATGAATAATATATAATTATAATTATTATTTATTATTAATAATAATTATAACATCACAATTATAATTATTATTATTGTTGTTGTTGTTGTCATTTTAATAATAATAATAATAATAATAATAATAATAATAATAATAATTAACAATAATAATAATTAACAATAACATATTATTATTATTATTATTATTATTATTATTATTATTATTATTATTATTAAAGTCTTACTTTAAAATAAAATAAAAACTACAACAAAAATAAAACATGTGAATTATTTTCCATCATTGTGGAAGCCCCATCTCGTTCTCACCGCCAGCTCTGAAGCTAAAAACAAGCAAAGCTGTGGTCTGACTAGTGGTGGGGTTTTCCCTCTTGCTAATCACACTTCAGGTTAGCATTCGCCTGGTGTAATGCTATCTTAGCTGTTACCATGGAGAAACAGCTCTGGGGACCAACATACTAGAGTTAGCAATCGCTAGCGCTACGCTGTACACAATGGCACAGCATCAGACGCGGCGGCGAGGCCTTGAGACGGGATAGACTTACTAAAAAAGAGCCGCCGTCTATTTGCAGTGGCCATTAAAAGCCCAGTATGCAGCTGAGCAGATAATCTTACATGAGGCTCACTGAGATCTAGAGTCTGAGAGCGACTATTAGCGCTCAATAAAGCCCGCAGAGACATCGCGACTCGCTCTGAGACTAGCATGGATTTATTGAGGATTTCCTTCATTGAAAGTAACACAGCCAGCTCTTGGCCAAAAACAAATTGTAGAACACACACACATAACGAGCAAGGCTGCAGAAGTAAAGATCATATTTGTAAAAATATTATAAATATTATTCATTCATTCATTTTCTTTTCGGCTTAGTTCCTTTGTTAATCCGGGGTCTCCACAGCGGAATGAACCGCCAACTTATCCAGCATATGTTTTACGCAGTGGATGCCCTTCCAGCAGCAACCTATCACTAGGAAACATCCATACACTCATCCATTCACACTCATACACTGACCAATTTAGCTCATTCAATTCACCTTTAGCGCATGTGTTTGGACTGTGAGGAATAAATAATAACCCGGAGAAAACCCACGCCAACATGGGGAGAACATGCAAACTCCACACAGAAATGCCAACTGGCCCAGCCGAGGCTCGAACCAGCAACCTTCTTGCTGTGAGGCAACAGTCCTAACCACTGTGCCACCGTGTTGCCCGAATATTATTCATATTATAATTAATTAATTTTATTTTATTTACATTCATTTACATTTACATTATATTCAATTAGTATTTTACATTTATTTGAATTTTCAATTATTTAAAATGTAAATGAAAATGTTATAGTACATTTACTTCTATAATAATAATGTTGTTATTATTTTATTAAGGATGTTATTATTAAATATATTATTATAATAATGAATATGAATAAATGTATTAATATAATAAGGAACATTATTATTCTTAATGAAGTGAACTTGTTTATTTTAAATTTATTATGTATTTAAAATGAAAATAATTGTTAATGTACATTTTTGAATTCACATTTATTTAAATAATAATAATATTGTTATTATTTTAATGATTAAAATTATTTATTTACAAGTATAATAGTTTAGTTTGTATTATTAGAAGATTTTTTTCAGCACATTTCTAAACATGATAGTTTTAATAACTCATTTCTAATAACTGATTAATTTTAAAGTGACATTTAAAGGCTTAACTAATTAGGTTAACTAGGCAGGTTAGGGTAATTGGGCAAGTTATTGTTTAACGATGGTTTGTTCTGTAGACTATGGAAAAAATAGCTTAAAGGGGCTAATAATATTGTCCTTAAAATGGCTTTGAAAAAATTAAAACTGCTTTTATTGTTGACAAAATAAAACAAAAAAAAGACTTTCTCCAGAAGACAAAATATTATCAAACATACTGTGAAAATGTCCTTGATCTGGTAAACATAATTTCAGAAATATATAAAAAAAAAAAAAAAAAAAAAATATATATATATATATATATATATATATATATATATATATATATATATATATATATATATATATATATATATGTGTCTTTGTACTTTATACAGATATTACCAGTAAGAAAAATCACAAGTAGTTATTTATATAATTTATATTATATAGTAAATTATTTCATAAAGCAGATTAAAATAATTACTATCAAAACTGTTCAAATAAATACAACTAAAAACCAAAAATCATTCATAACCACAGTCCAGAAAATAACAAGTCAAATACAATCAATGGTATAAAATAAAAACAAAGTGAAACTCCATAGCAGTTTGGCCAGCGCAGTAAAGTATGTGTGTGTGATTGTGAAACCAACCTTGGCAGGGTGTGATGAGGCAGTGGTCTTTGAGCTGAGAGCAGTTCTTGCCTTCGTAATCTTCTGGACATTTACAGTAATAATCTGAGGCCAGACTGAAGCACTGAGCCCCGTTCTGACACGGCCCGCTCTCACAGTAGTCCAAATCCAGCTGAAAAACAAAACCACACAACATCAACAACACCATTACAATCTTACTTCTGTCTTGATTCAGTGAGCAGTTTGATGTATTATAAAACTGAACTAACATTTATCACCATCAGTTTATTGATCACATTAAGAATTTCCATTAAAGTTTTTCAATGTTGTTTATATAAGGTATTTGGGAAACACTTATTACTGCATCATTAATTTCCCAAATGATGCATTGTACTATGGTAGTTGAGTCACAAATTACGTCGTTGTTTAGGAAACGCAAAATGAACGTGAATGTGAAGGATGACAGAATTGTTGATTTTTGGGTGTACTGTCTCTTTAAGATGTGAATTATTTCAGGCATGCGTCTTTGCTCACCTGGCAGGTGGCACCGGAGAAACCAGGCGGGCACAAACACTGGAATCCATTGAGTGTGTCCTGGCAGCGTCCGCCATTCAGACAGGGGCGACTGGCGCACTCATCCACGTCCCGCTCGCAGCGATCGCCTGCAAACCCTGCTGCGCACACACACCGATATCCATTCACCAGATCCTGACAGACGAGGAAACGGAGACAGACCCAATCACATACTGACTGAAGCAAAAAAAAAATCTGAACTAAACAAAACATAAATATTAATAGAAAAAATGTATATATTGTTCATGATTGTAATACAATTATTACATGCTGATTAAAGTAAAACAAGAACTAATAGGAGAATAATTTATAAATGTCAACATGAATAATAATAATAATCACATATATAATAAAAATAATAGTAATTAAAATATAATATAGAATAATAATAATTATTATTATTATTATTATTTATATTATTATTATTATTAAATTTTTAAATATTTTATTTAATATTTATAAATATAAATATTTAATATATTTTTAAATATTAAATATATTTATTTGTTTACATTTATTTGATCATATATTTAGATATTTTTTACAATAGTATTATTTATTAATTAATCATATCTAATATATATATATATATATATATATATATATATATATAAGTATATATAATTATATAAGTCATATAGTGATATAATTCTACTTGTACCAAAATATAATAATTATAAGAATACGTCAAACCATTATAAGTACATAATAAATGTATAAATTAATTGATGAGGATTTATTTTAGCATATATTGTTACTGTTGACAATATTAATATTTATCATATAAATCTACATGTAACTAAACAATTCAAGAGTTCACACTTGACGCAGTCAATAAATTAAAACTTCAATAATTCTTAAAATTCAAACAAATCATTATATGATGAATATATAAATTAATTAATTTACATTTATTTTATTGTATATTTTGTTAATTTTGACAATGTAATTATTTATTTCTTAATTATATATAATAAATTATATATATTTTCTTCAAATAATTCTACATGTACCAAAACCTAATAATTTTTAGAATTCTACAAATCATTATAATTATAAATTAATTTAGTTTTATTTTATCATTTTGACAATATATTTTTTAATCATTAAATTAAATTAAATAATTAATTAAATAATATATATTTTCTTAAATCACATATTTCTACCAGTAACAAAATATAATAACTCTTAGAATTCTACAAATCATCTTAAGTACATAATAAATGTATTAATTAATTGATAATGTTTTATTTTAGCATATATAATGTTAAAGTTGACAATATTATCATTTATTTCTTAATCATATATATTAGTTCTATTATTCTATTTATAACAAAATATAATAATTCTTAGAATTATCCAAACAATTAAACTTACAGTGTTTATTTAGATTTATTTTATTTATAGCTAATGTTGACTATATTATTATGTCATAATCATTTAGGATAAATGTCATATAATAAGTCATATAATATTACTTACAAAAATATAAACAATTATAATAATTCTCAAAATCAGCTAAATAATTATGATCGTCTTTTTTAAACACCATAGATTTATGGAAAAGGAAAATATGTTCATACTTTCACAGATATCTGACATCTCTTTTTCCCAATGGACAAATCATGTTTTCTTTAAAGCACAAACCCAACAACATTTTGTGAGGTTTACACCAAAAACACAAAACCACCCTCGGTTCTTTCAGTATAAGCGACTAATATCCCTAAAATCCATTACAACATATTTCATGTGATCAACTCAAACAAATGATTGTCAGAAGTGATTATGATTTAGCTGGCTGTGTTTTCACAGTTAACGGGCTCAGACTAAGACATAATGCTTTCCAGCTGCGCCACAATCAGCCTGAACCGAAGAGAAAATACAGAAAGAGCAAGAAAACAATGAATCGGAGACAAGAATGTTTATGGTAACCGGAATCTTTCGCAAACTCGCTCCCTCTTTTCTGTCCAAAGCATGACTCAGATCGGGCTATTTTTACTGCAGAAGTCTTACCTTACACAAACCTCCGTTCAGACACTGGCCGTGGCAGTCGTTGACATCTGCCAAGAGAATCCATCAAAATATCAGATCACAAATCATGCCAAGAAAACAACATTAGGCTCCACATCAAGCTTAGATTCAATCTTTATCTGCATTTTCAGCACTGATCTGAAGGGAAAAATCTGCTTTTAAAGGGTACCTATTATGCCTCTTTTAACAAGATAAAAATAAAGTCTCTGATGTGCCCGGAGTATATATATATATATATGTAAAGTTTTAACTCAAAATATCCCATAAATAATATTTTAAGTCTTTGGATTTTAACACTATAAGGGTTTGATCCAAATTGTGCCGTTTTGGTGACTGTCACTTTAAATACAAATGTGATTTTTAGAACAGGGAGGAGCTACAAATGCTTATACTTCATAAACAAGACTAAAGTTATTCCTCTAATGTTGCGTTCACACCAGACGCCGAACGAACGTCAAGCGCGAGTGATTTATATGTTAAGTGAATGCAAACCCGCGAATAGACATCCTGCGGCGCGATACACGCGAATAACGTGGCGCGATTGACGAGAATTGCGCGAATGGCGTGGTGCAAATAGCGCGATATGCGCGAATAGCGCAGGGCGAATAGTTCGATACGCACGAATGACGCGGCGCGAATGACGAGAATTGCGCGGTGCGAATAGCGGGATACGCGCGAATGGCGCGGGGCGAATAGCGCGTTTTGCGCGAATCTCTCGAGTTTAAAAATCTGAACTTCAGCGGACATTCGTGCCGCGTTAAACAATCAGAAGCTTGCTCTTGTGATCGCGTGATTGTGACGCAGAACCTGTTGATGGTGTCCCGGGGGAAATCCTCTAGGCGACACCGACAACAAGTCATCAAACTGGGCTTGGCTCAGTCAGAAGCACCGTTGAAAGCCTCCGTCATCCAGGTTCAGTTTTTGGAGGAGTTTATGAGCTCACAGAGCTGCATGCACCTCTGAAAGCATGTAGTAGACTCAGACACAGTCCTAAACGTATCGACGCTGTTTTTCAGCCTTCATAAAGTACATAAACACTTATTTTCTTCATAAAATCCATGTTAGCCATTTAGCAACGAAGCTACAGTCACCGGGCAGACAGAAGCCCTGCCCATCACGCGAATCCGTGTCTGTTCTGAAGTGAATTTGACACTCGAATGAAGCAGATTTCACGCCCGAAGGGTTTGACGCGCGAATGAAGCGAGTAAACTCAAATGTTCACGCGGCTATTTACGCGGCTATTCACGCGGCTATTTACGTCTGGTGTGAACACAGCATTAGTCGCTGACATAATCTTCAGCAGGTAAAAACTCAGATGGTGGACAGCTGCTTGTCACTCAGGGCTGTTTATGCAAATGAGGGAGAGATTGTCACTAATGGGCGGGGGGCTTTCCCCTCTGATGACAAGTACAAAGGGTAATGACAGATGGGTGGGTGATGGGGGTGCTACCACACCTCCTTTTTCAAATGGTACATTTTCATACGACTGAACTCATATGAAACAGCCACTAAACTGACAAAACGTAAAATAGTTGCATTTCCTCGTGAGATTACCTCAGTGTGCACCACAGGTTTGAAATATACTTGCGGTGGTAGCCGGATTTGCAACAGCACATAAATGGTCAACTACATGCGACAAACAAAAAATAATGTGATTTTCAACTTGATTTTTATTTACTATGACACAGCTTTACACCTTTCTTTTCAATGGGTTAAAGTTATTTTAAAAAGGCTGTTGAAATAATTTAAATCCACTATTTCTCTTACTTTTATGCTATTTTGGAGACATGTGCACCCACTGACAGGTAAAGGGTGCTCTCTCTCTCTCTCTCTCTCTCTCTCTCTCTCTCTCTCTCTCCCTCTCTATAAAGTTGCTAAGTTGGTAAATGTTGTCAAAACATTTTAGATATGTATAAAGTATGTAATATATCTACATCATTAAATTAATCAAATATTCAGCAAATGAGAAATAAATATCAGAAAAAATGAATAAAAATAGACATTATTTCCTAAAAATTATTAGAATTACTAAAAAGTGTAGATTATTTAAAAAAAAGCAAATTAATTGATTAACCATTTCTTATTGTGTGCAAATATTTTGCAGCCATTATAGATGTCATTTTTTTCCGTTTTTTAAGTCACTTTTTAAATGATTAATCATTTAATGTGTCTCGCGGCTGTGTTATCTGTGAAATGGTTTTGCAAAAACGCACACAAATAATGGCAACTCTAGAAAGTGCAAGTAAAACCTGAATCCTGGACATTTTAGGAGATTCAGAAACTGCGGTCGGATGCCTATTGGTGGAAAAGTGGGTCTGCAGAGCACGTGAGAGTGTGTGTGAGATTGCGCACACACAGAGAACCAGCAGCAGGAAACGTGCAGAGCGAGAGAAGATTTTCGACTGGTTTAATCGATCGCAAATGTTTAGTTTTTTGGACGTATAGAGCAGTATATTTTATTGAAAAATTGCAGCTCACAGAATCATCTCGCGGGCTGCATTAATTCGTTTGTGGGCCTGATCCGGCCTGCGGGCCGTACGTTTAACACCGCTGTTATAAACAGATTAATATATTAATACAATTAATACATTTTTACCCTTAGACACTGGTTATATTCACAGACTGTTGCCACACAACTGCGTTTAAACCCCTTATAAAAGTGATTTTTGCATAATAGGTCCTCTTTAAACAAAAGCTGAAATAAAATGATAATAAAATCAGACCAATTATTAAATAAACCCTAATATATGAAGCTTTATACATTTTCATGAAGTACTCATATTCAAATTTTGTTTTGTTTTTTCTGCTGCATTTTCCTTCAGCAAGCTATCAGTACCGACCTGTAGTTAAACTCACTTGCAGATCTCTCAGAGCGCCTATGTAGTCAATCTCACGTTGCTTTAATCTGACACTGTGAAATACTTACTGATGTCGCAATTCTGTCCCGTCCAGCCAGGCAGGCACTCGCAGAAGTATCCACCAATCAGATTGCGGCAGGAGTGGGCATTGACGCACGGGCTTTCCTCACACTCATTAGCATCTGGGCCAAAAATGGAAAAAAGAGAAACTAGTGTGAGCGCAGTCCAAACACACACGCAGCCAAACAGAACTATATGCAGTTACCTCCACTAAGATGTGTGTGAAATGTTGATCTTTTGCTCAGAATATTAACAAAAAAGCTAATTTAGAACAAATAATTGCAAACACAACTGTTTTATTGGAAAGAACATGTGTGTGCATAAATATTGGCACCCCATTTATTTATTTTCCTTCAGCTTAATCCCTTATTTATCTAGGGTCCCCAAAACAGAATGAAGCGCCAACTATACTGGCATGTTTTACACTGCGGATGCCCTTTCAGCCACAACCAAGTACTGGGAAACTCACATACACACTCATACACTATAGCCAATTTAGTTTATTCAATTCACCAAGCACATGTCTTTGGACTGTGGGAGAAACTGGAGCACCTGGAGGAAACCCACACCAACATGGGGAGAACATGCAAACTCCACACAGAAATGCTAACTAACCCAGCCAGGACTCAAACCAGTGACCTTCTTGCTTTGTGGTGACAGTTCTAAACACTGAGACTTCCCATTGGCACCCCAATGAATCAATATATTATTTTCAATTTATATTCCCATTGATATTTTATCATTTTTGCACACCTTTTGTGACTAAGAACTGAAAATTGTTTCACAGCGGCATAAATAAGGCCAAGCTCACTCGGTCATTCATCAAAATGGGTAAAAACAAAGCACAGAGCTGTGATTTACGGCAAGAGCCTCCAAATGTTTATTTCCACCATCAGGGCAATAATGAAGAAATTCCAGTCAACTGAATCAACCTGGAAGAGGATGAGTGTTTGTGGTTTTGAGTGGCCAAAAATAATCTCTAAAACTCTTAGCTGGAGAATTGCAGAAGTTAGTTTGATCTCGGTTTCAGAAACTCTCCAAAACTACAATGCGAAGTCACCGACATCACCGCAAATAGTTTCAAAGGGTTTCAAGAAGAAGCCTCGACTCTAATCCAAAAACAAACTCAACCATCTTCAGTTTTATTTTAGTATTCATATTACAAAGTGTGCCAGTAGCTATGTTTCCATCCATATATTTTTATGCGCATTTTGGAACATTCAACAATAATGAAATATATTATGCTCATAAAATCGAAACACATTTACCGAACAAATTCCAGCATGTGCATCAAAAATGACGTGATTTTGTTTTAACATTTCATGTAATTAAAAAAATAAGTGTGATGAGATGACATTAATGTAAAAATCAGTGTTTTGGTCCTTCTAAAATCCCTCAGCCTAAAGGCCCGTGCACACTGAGACGTTTTTTTGCTCGCGTTTTCCGTCGACGTTTAACGCCTTGTGACTAAATAAAGGGCGTCAATGTGAACGTGTACACCAATTCGCAAAACGCCAGGCGCAAAAGCGTCATTTTAAAAATGTGCACTGCGTCTAAACCTTCTCCACCAATCAGATTGGCACTTTTGTTCACGTGCACGGAGCTACTGAAGTAACAGTAAACAGCACTTGGAGGAGCTCAAGCGCAAAACTGTCAATGCGAGCGCACATTGAGGAAGATGCCCAGAGGCGATATGAATGTGCAGCTGCTTGTTGCTCTGTGAACACTAATCCTTTCTTCATTGCTAGAGCTGCTACTTGAACCATCCATGCTTGTTTGAGTCACCAGTAACTTTAACAACAAGCGTGTGAACTTCCTCTCTTCCTCTTCTTCTGTGTTGTAAGCAGGTGTCAGAAGAGTAAAGCGCCATCTAACGTCAAGGAGTGATTTTGCATACACTTCTGCTTGACACCAGTAAAAATCGCTTGGGTTTGAATCAGGAAAAATGTCTTGAAAAAGCTGACGATAAAAGTAAACGAAAAGCGTCCCAGTGTTTACGAGCGTTAAAGGTTATTGCACACTGAATACGAAATTTCGCATGTTAAAAAATAATTCAACCTTATGTTGTAACAATCGTATTGACACATTGCCTCCAAAACTTTTATCCGTCATAAAAAATTCAAACCGGGTTCGTATTTGTCCACTTTTCGCATCCGAAAAAGGACTTTGAGAGGTGTTTTGACAGTTCAGAGCCACCGTACAATCTAAACGCCGTCATTTGCACTACAGTTAACTAAGACATTAAAGAGCCCATATTATGGGTTTTTGAAAATTCCCCTCCATGTAGTGTGTAACACAGCTCTAAGTGAAGTTAGGTATCCAGCTAAGGCTTAAATCTGTAAGAGTACAGTGTTTAAAACGGTTGATTCATCTATAAAAGAGTCGACTCATAGTGCTTCAAACGAGTCGCCTTGATACCGAGTCATTAGGTGTTTCGCCATGACGTACGAACGAAACCAAGTTATTCACGTGCACGCGCAAACCCGGGAGTTTTCAAACCTGAGGCCCCGCCCTCTGACGCAGAAACCCAGACACACACACACACCCACAAACACACACACACAAACATGCCGGTCGATTGAAGTCACACTGCAGATGGATATTATATCGAGTCTCAACCCAAAGATGAAACATCAGCTTTATAACCAAGCAGTTGGAAACTACTGGAAACTTCTGCAAACTACATGCTACAAAGAATACTTCATCGGCGTTTGATAAAGGAAGGATCAGTAAAGAGTAACTTACTGCTAGACGTCAGTATGGGTTTCTTCCTCCATTTCTCAAGTGTAAGTACGTGCGATTAAAGTTGTTGCCTCATTGACTCTAGCTTGCAAATGTATTTAGTTGGGATTTGTTACTTGTAACCGCGTGTACTGTATCAGGTTAACTGGCTATATTCTCTTTTCGCGTGCAAAGTCACGTTAAAAACGCGACGCGTGCTGCTTGTTTTATGGAGCTCCGTGGACGAGGGTAGTGTGTGTGCGCGTGCGCTGTCGTCCGGAGGTATGTGTGTGTATTTGTTTGTGTTTGCGCGCGCGCGCGCGTTGTCGTCCAGAGGTGTGTGTGTGTGTGTGTGTTTGTGTGTGTGTGTGCGCGCGCAAGGACGAGGGCAATGTGTATCTGTGTCTGTGAAAAGAGCAGAGTGAAACAAGCTGTGTGATCTCCTCGACAGTTTTTGGAGTTTTTGTTCAATAAAATAGTCGTCTGAATTTTCAAGTTCATCGACTGTATTTACATTGACCCACTGGCAGCTAAAATCCACGCCTACACTATCGAGCGTGTATGAACTGTGATTACTTTTATATTGCTGATTAGCTGTTTGGCTTTTTACTCTCTGACTGAATGCAGTCGACCAATCGCAACAGACTGTCATCGGTTCAATCAGTGCAGATTAGCTTCGCGCTAAGGAGGGGTTTGGGAACAAATGAATCACTGGACGATTCATAGAGGAGTCGCTGGGATAATTAGGTAAAAATAAATGCAGATTATAAGACCATGAAAGTGTTTTTTGACCTTCCATGCATAATAGACTGTTGTTGGAGACCCTTACAACCAAGATATGACCCTATTTCATGTATAATATGGGCTCTTTAAGAGAGAATGTGGCGAACAGTCGAGAACCCCCTAAGCTGGATTAAATGACTGGCGCACGCTACTGTTTGGGGTGTGTACATGTGTATGTGTGTGTGTCCATACATTTGATGTATAACTCATAGACGTTATAATAGAAAGCATGGTCCGCTTACAGTTCTTTGATTTGACGAATCACTGCGGCCGCCATCTTTTTTACTGTCTACAGGTACCAGTCTCTGTTCAGGATTTGTTTACGTACATGAATGTGTGAAGTATCACAAGCAATGTATGAACATTCCACTGATTTCCTGAAATAAACTTTGCATTTCGGTATAATCACAGGGAAGGTAAAGGCACACACACCGATGAGACAGGTCTTTCCAGTCCACTGCACGGGGCAGATGCATTTGAACCCGTCCACCAGGTCCACACACACACCGCTGTGATTACACGGGTTTGGACTGCAGTCGTCTTCATCTGAGGAACACCAGAGACCTCATTAGGAGTACATATTAGGAGTCTTCAGGAAAAGTAAGAGGGAAATAAATAAATGTTGCTGTGGTGTTGTTAAGGTGTTCAAATGGAGTCAAAAAGCCTACATACAATGGTATTCTGGTTTGTAAAATATTGTGCTCTAAATGAAAATATTTTTTTAGTTTTAGGTTTTGGTTGGTTGCATTCTGGTCTGTAATACATGCTTTGGCAAATATGACTTTATCAGACCGAATGCAGATCTGCTGAGTGTGAGACAGTAGAGTAGAGTAGTCTTACTGATGTTGCAGGAGGGTCCCGTCCAGCCGGCCGCACACTGACACTCAAAGCCCAGACTGGACTCCACACAGAGGCCTCCGTTCAGACAGGGCTCCGATAGACAGGCGTTATCAGCTGCAGAATAAGCAAAGCATCATCATACATAAGGATGCTTTTTATTTATCCATCCGTGCATCCATCCATCCATATATCCATATATTATTTATCCATCCATCCATCCATCCATCCATTATTTATTCCCTCCATCCACTCCTCAATTTTTTTCCATCCATCTCTTCATTATTTTTTCCATCCTTTCATTAATTGTTATTTTTTTACATCCATCCATCCATCCATTATTATTTTTTTCCCATCCATCCATCTATTCATTATTTTTTTCAGTCCATCCTTCCATCCATCCACAGTTATTTTTTCCATCCATCCATCCATCCATCCATCCATCCATCCATCCATCCATCCATCCATCCATCCATCCATCCATCCATCCATCCATCCATCTATCTATTAATTACTTTTTCCATCGATCCATCAATCAATTCATCCATTCATAAGCCCAGCCACTCATCAGTCCATCCATCAATAACACTACCCCTTCGCTATTTTTCCATCCATCTATCTATCCATTATTTTTGCCATCCACACATCCATTTATTATTTTCCATCCATCCATCCATCCATCCATTGTTGTTTTTTCCATTCATCCATAAACCCCCCACCCATCATAACATCCATCTCTTCATTACTTTTTCCATCCATCTATACATCCATAACATCCACCCATTGTTCTTTTTTCCATTCATCCATAAACCCACCCACCCATCAGCCCAACCATCCATCCATAATACCCATACCTTCATTATCTTTTCCATCCATCCATCCATCCATCCATCCATCCATTATTTTTGCCATCCACACATTTATTTATTATTTTTATATGCATCCATAAACCCCCCCACCCATCAGTCCATCCATCCATAACATCAATTTCTTCATTATTTTTTCAATCCATCTATATTTCCATCCATCCATTCATTATTGTTTCCATCAATCTATAAACCCCCACCCATCAGTCCATCCAAAACATCTATTCCTTCATTATTTTTCCATCTATCTATATATATATCCATCTATCTATCTATTCATTGTTATTTTTCCATCTATCCATAAACCCACCCACCCACTCATCAGTCCATCCATCCATACCTTCATTATTTTTCCATCCATCTATATATCCATCCATCCATCATTTTCCCATCTATCCATCCATAAACCCACCCACCCATTAGTCTATCCATCCATCCATCCATCCATTTTTTTCCATCCATTTATCTATAGTCATTTTTCCATCCATCCATCCATCCATCCATCCATCCATAAACCCACTTATTAGTCCATCCATCAATGACATCCATCTCTTCATTATTTTTCTATCCATCCATACACCCCACCAACCCATCCACTTACTCACACACCTACCCATCCATCCAATATTTTTTTATTTAATTTGCATTTAATCACATGTATAGAGTGTATTTCATTTACCATTTATTTACAGTGTTTTTATATAACTGCTATAATATAATGAATCAATTATCTGACTCTATTTTATTATTTAAGAATACATTGCTTTTGTATTTGCTATTTTATTTTTACCATCTTTATATCAACACCAATAATCTGCTAGGTTTCACAGCTATCTAGTATAATAAATGCATACATGGAAGTCCTCTGTGTCTAAAAACTAAGCTTTTCACCAATTCAGAAATCATGGGACATTTTGTAAAGCTTCTCAGAGTGAACAACAGTAACCAAGGGTGGAGTTTAGCAGAGGGTCACTGGAGTGTTAAACTCAGAGAGAAAGAGAGAGAGAGAAGCAGGATCAGTTTTGTTGCATCAGACTCATATTGTGCTGGAGTTCACAGACAGTCAGTCAGTCAGTCAGGCAGGGTCAGGTCTTGGTTTTCCCCCTTTTCAATCTCCAGTCACTCCCTCTCTCCGGTCTAGCGCTCTTTATCAGATCAGTCAGTGGACAGGAAAGCCCCTTTGGCCTTTCTCACACCGAACACACAGACCACCAACAAAAACAACGAGCATTTCTTCTCCAATAAGATGTGACAAGAAAAAGGCTAAGCGAAAATTGAAGAACAGCACGAAAAGAGCTCTTATTACTTTTAAAAGAGTGTTTGACGGGAGGCGCGGCAAGCCAAACCAAACATTTTTCCGACACACATATGCCATGGCATGCAAGATGTGATGCATTTTTTTTCCCTGCCCAAATCAAATTAATACACAGCGCATTCTTTGGCTTGGCCAAGACACAAACTTGCTTGATTGGTATTTTGAGAGTATGCGTGCGTGTTTTTGGCAGGACATCTTCACTCTTTAACTGACTGTACGGATTTCCTTTCTCCAGAGAAAGACGGTGGATGACTTGGAAAAAAGATTATTTGGTACACATGCATATAGAAAAGGGATACATGGATATATATGCAAAGTATATATATATTTTTGGATTTGACATGTACACAATTAGTCATATATGGAACCAACCCAGGTTCATTATGGATACGTACCCTTGTATACATTTCCGGAGAGTGCAAAATACGTCTCAGAAGGTATGTTTTTTTGCAGTTTTTATTTTCGTGAATCCACCAGAGGACGTAGAGGGACACATTTATAAAAACATATATAAAATTATAGCTGAAATGTTTGAACATATGTGTATATTTCTAATTACAATGGTTGAAAATATATATATCAATATATGTCAATTTTAAATTATATGTTGCATATATGAAATATATTTTATATATGTCAAATCCAAATATGAACTTGTATCTGTTATATATAGTTTGCATATATTACCATATATCTTTGGTGAGCAGGATCCAAAATGAACCCTCACCAATCGCCAAATGTGTGTAAAAACTGGCTCTGGTGAGTAAATAAAACTAAACTTCTTGCCTTTTTGGTTTAATTTTCTGACTCACCGATAAGCAACGTGAGCCATTCCGATCAAAAGCATAAAAACCACGCACTCCAGAAGACATCCGTCAAACTACTTTTTTTCTCTGTGGAACATTTGAGTCAGTCAGTCATTTTTCAGAATGGCTTTTCTCCAGAACTCTCTTTATAACTTTTGTTTTTAAGGGTAGGTTTAGTTCTCCACTCTCTTCAGCATTGATTTCTATTATTCCCTATGCTACCTACTATGCAGGACCCTCTAATCTGAACCTGATTAATGGATTTATACTGAAATCTTAATTAAAGTCCTGCTCGCAGAAGACTTACAGTCACATGATACACATGAGACTCACCTCTCTCGCAGTTCTGTCCGGAGTAGCCCTCAGGACAGGCGCAGTGGTATTTGTCTGGTCCCGTGTTACTGCAGGTGCCACCATTGAGACACGGCTGAAGTGTGCCACAGGTGTTTAAGTCTAAATCACAGAAAACAATTGAACAAGTGACTCAGGCTGAATGGTACAGAATGAAATAAAATGTAATAGAGTTGAACAATAGAATTGAACAGAACTGAATGGTATAGAACAGAGTAAAATGGAATAGAACAGACTATAATAAAACAGAATAGAGACAAAATGAAAAACAAATCCAACAAAATGAAACAATTAAACATAACAGAGAAGAACAGAAAGTAATGTAGAATTGAATTGGATAGAACAGAACAGAATGAAATATAATATAAGATTAGAAGCGGATAGAACAAAATAAACAGATACAATGAAAGAAATAGAGTGAAATAGAACAGAATAGAGTATGAAAGAATTAAATAGGACAGAATGAAATCATAATATTATAAAAATATAGAAAAAAAAGAATAGAATGAAAAAATGGACACAACAACATGACGTAAATTAAAACAGAACCGAGTAAAATAAAAATGAACACAACAAAATGAAACAGAACAGAGGAGAATAAAAATGAACTGAACAGAGTGACACAGAACAGAACAAAATAGACAGAAGAAAGTAGAATAGAATGGAGTACAACAGAAATTAATTGAAAAGTGAAATAGAGAAACAGAACAGAGTAGAATAGAATAGAATAAAATAGAAATTAATTGAACAGAGTGAAATCGAGAAACAGAACACAGTAGAATAAAATAGAGTACAACAGAAATGAATTGAAGAGAGTGAAATAGAGAAACGGAACAGAGTATAATAAAATAGAGTACAACAGAAATGAATTGAACAGAGGGAAATAGAGAAACAGAACAGAGTAGAATAGAATAGAATACAATAGAAATTAATTGAACAGAGTGAAATAGAGAAACGGAACAGAGTACAATAAAATAGAGTACAACAGAAATGAATTGAACAGAGTAAAATAAACACAACAAAATAAAACAGAATAGCCTAGAATAGAATTGAGTTCAAAAGAAACTGAACAGAGCAAAACAGAACAGAAAATGAAACAGAACAGAACAACATGAAACAGAAGAGTAGAATTGAATAGAGCACAATAGAAATGAACTGAACAGATTGAAACAGAGCAGAACAAACTCAAACAGAAGAGTATTATAGAATAGAGTACAATAGAAATGAATTGAAGAGACCAAAATAGAACAGAACAAAATGAAAATGAATAAAACAGAATAGAGTAAAATATAAATGAATTAAACAGAGCAAAATAGACCAGAACAAAATGAAACAGAACAGAATAGAGTAGATTAGAATACAATAGAAATAAATTAAACAGAGCGAAACAGAACAGAACAAAATGAAACAGAAAAGAGTAGAATAGAATAGAGTAGAATAAAAATTAATTGAACAGACCAAAATAAAATAGAAACAGAACAGAGTAGAATTAAATAAAGCACAATGGAGATGAACTAAACAAAGCAAACAGAACAAACCAAAATGAAACAGAACAGAGTAGAATAGAATTGAGTAGAATAAAAATTAATTGAACAGAGCGAAATAGCACAGAACAAAATGAAACAGAACAGAGTACAATAGAAATTAATTGAAGAGAGCATAATAGAACTGAACTAAATTAAACAGGACAGAGTACAATTGAATAGAGTACAACAGAAATTGAACAGCAAACCAGAACAGAACAAAATGAAACAGAACAGAGTAGAATAGATTACATCAGAAATGAATTGAACAGAGTGAAACAGAACAGAACAAAATCAAACAAAATAGACCAGAATAGAGTACAATAGAAATGAATTGAACAGAGCAAAATAGACCAGAATAAAATTAAACAGAGCAGAATAGAATACGATATAATAGAAATTTATTAAACAGAGCTAAACAGAACAAGGTACAATAGAGTACGATAGAAATGAATGGATGAATGAACAGAGTAGGTTAGAATAGAATAGAACAGAATAGAATACCTTTGTCACAGAGCTGTCCTCCCCAGTTGGTGTCACACAGGCACTGCCAGGGTTCGATGCATGTTCCATGGACACATCCGGGATGAGGAATACACTGATCACAGTATTCACCCTGCCACCCGTACAGACACCTATGAAGGGCACGACATCACCTCTGTTTTTAACACACACTTTTTGTAATATTAATTACAATCAGTTTCTTAACTATTTCCATTACTACTGAGCTGAAAAAAAACATTCTTGCCCTTAAAGCTCTAAAGTGTTAAATTAAGAGTAGGTTAGTAGGAAAAAGCCAATTAAAGTCTGCATTTGTTTGTATCATTAAGAGGCTCTACACTTTTTACTTGTCATGCTGCTTTAGAGGGACAGAAAGTGAGCTCACTTGGCTTTGGAACACAGACATTAAATCCACATTGTGTATAAACAGATGCTTTATTTTACCTGCAGTTTCCAGGCACTTTACAGGAGCCGTGCTCGATGCTGCAGCCCTGCTTACAGATAGCTGAGAAAACAAGAGAGAAAGAGGAACGTGGTTATCAGGAGCATCTGTGTGATCTCAGCAGTTCATCACACACACACACACACTCTGCCAACATGATGTCATCTCTCCTCCCGTCCACTCATGTTTCTTCATGCGGGATGAATGAGGGAATAAACACTATTACAGAGATAAAATCCACCCTAATACTGTTGCAAGCCACTAGACGCTAACACACACACCGACTCACAGAAAGGATGTGTGTGTGAGCCAAAGCTTTGTTGTGATAGTGAAAATATCAAATAACAGCATCACTGAGGTCATCTACATCTACAGAGCATTAATAAGTTTAGTCTAAACAAGCCTGAATAACCCCATTCCCATGCTTTAGACCAATGAATATCTATCTATTAGTTTTCCAGTGTTTTGTGACTTACAGACCTGAACTAACAGCTTACAGCTAAACATCTAAAATACAGACATCCGAACATAGATGTCATGGCTAAAACAAGCCTAAATTTGACTAGTCATTAAACAGATATCAAAGACACATGTGCAGCCTGTCTGATCTGTGTTAGATTACTAGACTATTATTAGATTGTCAGCCCAAACAAAGCCAAGACATCTAGATTTGGATGTCTATAAGATGTCTTTTAAATGCATATCTACTTAGTGGGAGCCCTCACATATGAAAACAACATGCTCTAGCATTGGAACAGCATTATAAATCTGATAAACAGCCCCGTCCCCTCACCAGTGTTGCATTCTGGGCCGGCCCATCCTTCCAAACAGGTCTTGTTTCCGTTGTGATCGCAGGTATAGTGGCCGAAAAAGTCGTCTCTGGGCCGACAGAACTTATTACAGCCAAAGCCAAAGTAGTGCTCGTCGCAGGTCACCCGAATTTGGTACTGGAACTGAGCCACGGGGCCGTTGTGCTTCAGGACCTGCCATTGACGGTTTGGGTTGATCATGCCCGACTGCACCGCTTTCTCGATCACTTGTCCATTTATGCCTATAAAGAAGAGAGCATTACATTATAGATCACAGCTGTGGTTTAATGACACTTCTGTTTAGCTTAAATATGAAATTACGAACACCACTAACTCTCAAAACATGCAGATTTAGGCACTGGATTTATGGTTGAGATGTTTCTGAACAACAAAAGTAGACTTTAGGCTAAATGTCTGTTCTATACTGCAAATGGGATGATTTTAGGATAACACACACAACAGATTAGAAATATCACAAAGGTTTCCTTCTATGATTTATACTTCATGTCCCTTACAGGAAAAACTACATGAGCATCACATGAACTTCACATGTGTGATTGAAACACACAAAACACATATAGAACACACAAAACCACATTTTAAACACACATGGAACACACAAAATATTTGAAACACACATAGAACACACAAAACAATTTTGAGACCCATGGAACACACAAAACATGTGAAACAAACACAAACACATTTGAAACACATAAAGAACACACAAAACCACATTCGAAACAGACATGGAAAACACAAAACACATTTGAAACACACGAAACACCATTGAAACACACATAAAACACATGAAACACAATTAAAACACACATGGAACACACAAAACACATTTGAGAACCACTAAACACTGTTGAAAAACACGGAACGAAAACAATGAAACACACATAAAACACACAAAAACACATTTGAAACACACACGGAACACACGAAACACAATTGAAACACACATAGAACACAAAAACACATTTAACACACACATGGAACACACGAAACACAATTGAAACACACATAGAACACAAAAACACATTTAACACACGAAACACAATTGAAACACACATAGAACACAAAAACACATTTAACACACACATGGAACACACGAAACACATTTGAAACACACATGGAACACACGAAACACATTTGAAACACACATGGAACACACAAAACACATTTGAAACACACATGGAACACACAAAACACAGTTGAAACACATGAAGCACAATTGGAACACACATGGAACACACAAAGCACAACTGAACACACAAAAACACACTTGAAACACACATGGAACACCCAAAACACAGTTGAAACACATATGGAACACACAAAGCACAATTGAAACACACATAGAACACACAAAAATACACCTGAAACACACATGGAACACGCAAAACACATTTCAGTTTCAAAGCTGGGCTTAGAACAACAAAATTATGGTTTATATGACCAAATGTGGCAATAAAAGTATTATTAACATTCCCTTAAATGATCTGGACTCTTTTAACAAATTCTGTTGGAGTCAAATGACAGCTTATCATAACAAATCTTCTCACCTTTTACTGTAACGTGGACATTAGCGCAACCTGGACATTTTAGAAATTTACAATGAAAAAAGCTGAGAAAATAATGATTTAAGAGTTGTGTAACATGCTCTTTGTTTACTATTGTTTAATAATGGTGTAGTAATTTTTTTTGGGCCAGGCCAAAATCCAGCATGGCGGTGAGGTATTTGGCTGAGGGGCTGTAAATTGTGAGAGGAGTGTGTGAAGTGTGTGCGGCTCGTGGTTCGACATAACTGACTGTCTTTCAAAAACACAGGCAGACAGACAACAGTGTCAGACGGACACACACACACACACAAGCACAGTGGAAACATCACACTGTAGTGCAAGAGGGAAGACTTTAATATTTCTGCCAGCTTACAGTACACAGATACAGTGCACTGAATAAACGAAATACAAAGCATAATCTCATACAATATATAATAAATACAGTGTATATTGTTCTTACATTATACAGTGTCTACAGTAAAGTCTATTGTATGCAAATATACATATATATTTACATGTATTATACGCATATTAGGCACAGGACAAATTATACTGCCGAATTAATTTTACTAGAAAATACCACAGTGTCTGAACACAGGCATAAAGGGTTTTATTTCTGTTCAATCATCTCAAAATCCAAGTTAAACAGCAACTGTAAGAGTCAGTTGATTGGTCAGGCTTACTGCTGTCTCATTTACTAGTGTGTGTGTATGTAATGAACAGTGCACTACAAAAGCTGGACTCGTGCTAAAAGCTACTTGACATGTTGGTGTTAAGTACAAGTCAATATTTGCACTCCTGTTCGGATTTGGCACACATTGTTTAGTTAGATCTGAATGGGATAAACAATAAAAGTCGACTGTACTACACACACACACAATATACCTTTGATTTTACACACTATTGTAAGTAACATTCCCAATATCCATCGTTTCTGACTGCTGTGCGTGCGTGTGAGTTTTCTCAGGCTTATTAAAATGTGTTTAAAAGACCGATGATGAATGCGAACAGGTGCAGACAGCGGTTTAGTAACAGGATGTGTTTGCCAGGCATCCACAACACGCACACACATACAGATATTACCACACGCGAACAGTATGCTGTTTTTACATGCTCTCTGGCTTTTTGTCACTCTCTAGCTATTTAAACACACAAACATAAAAGATACTCACTGCCAGTGCTTGAGTCATTATTGAAGTCCAACGCCTCCACAATCAGCGTATACGACCGCTGAAAAAAAAGAAAAGACACATGAAAACACCGGTACACATAATCGCACTGCAAATCATCTAATAAAAACTGACAGTCTGACAGGATTATTCCACTTACAGCATGAAACTTTTATGGTAATTTTACACAGCGCCTTGTAATTCAAGGCGTTACTTTCTTTCGAAGACAAAAAATATTATTTCCTTTTTTTTGTTGAGGGAAACATGCAGGATTTTTCCAACCCGGGCTCATTGTGGAAACGTACCCCCGCGGATGTTTCTGGAGACCGCGAAATACGTCCCCGGGAGGTACGTATTCGAGCAGTTTTTGTTTTTGCGAATCCACGAGAGGCCGCTGTGCGCGCCTTTTCACGTCTCGAAGACCTCTCGGGAGCGCGCCGTTCGCGCCCGTACTGTACTGTGCCGTCAACCGGCGAGCGCGAAGAGGAGGAGAGGCGTGACACCGCCCCATAGCGTTCGCTCGGAAAAACTAAACGCGGCCATACGTACCTACGATCCTGTAAATCGCAGTCTCCAGAAACGTCCGCGTGGCTACGCATGTTCCCGGGATAAGGCTCGGAGCTCAGAGAGACACCCTAAAGCTGCGGTCACACTGCACTTTACGCTCCATAGACTTCCATTCATATGCAGGCGAATGTGGCAGATCGGAAACGCAAGCTTGCGCGACAAGTTTGGCAGTTCACTGCATTGGAAAGCTCAAGCTTGGTGAACTCTGACCGGCGAAATCGCATCGTGTAAATGCATGAGACCAATCGAAGATCAAAACATGACCTCTCTGAACAGAAATTAAAAATATGGATCAATCGCTTCGTTTTTATTGTCTAATCATTTTGTTTAATCCCGCCCCGTTTCTCAGCGCCGTACTACAGAATTTTTACACGCACAAACTCTAGTGTAACTTGTGTTATTGTAAGAGAGAGAGCGAAATAAAGGTCCAAGCCCATTAAAAAAAAATGACAAGTGTTGGCTGGTAACAATATTTTCAATTTTACGAGTGCAAACACTAGCAAGTGTGAAATTAGTGTCACTAACTGAACTATGTATATATGTTAATCAGGAGCTTTATAATGCCAAATTCATTTATTCAAGACAGGTCTAAATGTCGTCCAAATATCAACACAAAAGCGAACTACTCAAACTATTCAATATTGAACATTTTTCAATAAAATGGCCCCCAAAACTGTATTATTTGTATGAAAACAGTATGATAATTGTATGATTTTTTTGTTAAAGGTCCCGTGAAGTGCTTTGAAATATGTATTTTTATTTGATGTTTGACGTAATCTCAAACTAAACACGAAGAGACACGAAGTGATAGCTATAGATAGTGTAGCCCCTCCCCTTTTTAAAAAACAGCCAATAGCATTTATTACCGCTCTACCAGTGAGAGTGGTTGAGCTTAAATGAATTTAATGAGAAGCGTCTTGATGGGGGTGAGGCATGTCAGATACTAGAGAGCATTTGTTTGGTCAAGATTTGATAAGAAACTGAAGTATAGGGTCAAATTACAAAAAAAAAACGTTGATCCATTTAGGTGAAAGTGACAAACTACACGCTTTACATGTTTTATTACTTCTAAACGTGAATTTTGTCACTGTTTTGGTGTGCACTAGCTTACAGAAACCCTAAAAGCTAACAATACAGATACTAACATCTAAAAAACTTTATCTTAATTTCATGGCACCTTTAATAGTATGTCCATGTTGATTTCAAACCAATGTTTCTAGAATGCTCGAGAAACATTGATGTTCAATAATGATGAATGGCTCTTTGTTTTATCAGAAGACATCACTGAACTACTTTCACTATCTCGCTCCTCATCGACTGAAGATAAGTGACAGGACGAGCAGGAGAGTGAAAGAATGCGTGAGAAAAACTCAACAGGAAGTTTGTGAGAAATGAAAAGCATGTTTGAGATGTGGGTCTAATTGTGAGAAGAGCGTTTGGTCTATGGGTCGGTGCTTTCTGAAATGACCTCACACACACACAGCGGCTCTTCCTGCCTCTGCAGATTGAGGGATCTACAGGCCTTTATGAGCTTTAATCCATGCAGACACACACAGAGAATATGAAGGTGAAGTCAGACGAGTGTGTGGAGCCACACACAGGCCATTCAGAGTTCAAACTCGACACAGGATTCATCCGCAAGTGACACCTCGGCGATTTGAACTAGAGACAGGGTGAGAAAGGCATGAAGAAGCTCGCGGACAACATTCACTTCACACACTGTCAGAGATGTTCGCTTGAGTTTATGCAATATTTACAGTTGAAGTCAGAATTATTACCCCCCCCCCCCATTTTTTGTTTAATGGAGAGATTTTTTCAACACATTTCTAAACATAATAGTTTTAATAACTCATTTATAATAACTGATTTCTTTTAGCTTTGCCATAATGAATTTTTTCAAGATTTTTCAAGACACTTCTATACAGCTTAAAGTGACATTTTAAAGCTTAACTAGGTTAATTAGGCAAGTTAGGATAATTAGACAAGTTATTGTATAATGATGGTTTGTTCTGTAGACAAACAAAAAATATTGTTTAAAGATGCTAATAATATTGACCTTGAAATGGTTTCAAAAAAATGTTTAAACTTCTTTTATTCTAGCCGAAAAGAAGAATAAATATTATAAGAAATACTGTGCAAAAAGTCCCCAAGTAATTTTGACTTCAACTGTATATCTTGATTTTTACGTATTCAGAAAGACATGTGACTAGCGACACCGGTGGCAGATTAGAGAACTGCAGTCTAAAAATATATTACTGATGTAACATTCAGGGCGACGCAGTGCTGAGTAGGTAGTGCTGTCGCCTCACAGCAAGAAGGTCGCTGGTTCGAGCCTCGGCTGGGTCAGTTGGCGTTTCTGTGTGGAGTTTGCATGTTTTCCCTGCGTTCGCATGAGTTTCCTCCAGGTGCTCTGGTTTCCCTCCACAGTCCAAAGACATGCGGTACAGGTGAATTGGGTAGGCTAAATTGTCCGTTGTACAATTGTGTATTGTGTATGGATGTTTTCCAGAGAGGAGTTGCGGCTGGAAGGGAATCCGCTGCGTGAAAACATGTGCTGGATAAGTTTGTGGTTCATTTCGCTGTGGCGACCCCAAATTAATTAAGGGACTAAGCTGAAAAGAAAATGAATGAATGAATGAATGATAAACTGATAACAAAAATCCAAAATATGATGGTAACAAATAACAAAGCATCGAGGCGTCCTGCTGAGAGCAATGTTTAGATAAATCTGTAAATCTGTGCTGTGCTCTTTCACCTAAATAACAAATGAAAGGCAAAACAATGACAGGTTATGAAGGTATTGCTTGTTCAAAATCGGAAATTCACAAACAAAATATTGACAAATGAGGGAAGTAAAACTCGTCATTGTATAACGATGGTTTGTTCTGTAGACAATCAAAAAAAAAATATATATATATATTGCTTAAGGGGGCTAATAATATTGACCTTAAAATGGCTTTTAAAAAATTTTAAAACTGCTTTTATTCTAGCCGAAATAAATCAAATAAGACTTTCTCCAGAAGAAAAAGTATTATAGGAAATACTGTGAAAATTCCAAGCTCATTTTAAGATCATTTAGGAAATATTTGAAAAAGAAAAGGGCTAATAATTGTGACTTCAACTGTATATATTAATATTTACGTATTCAGAAAGCCATGTTACTAGCGACACCAGTGGAAGTTTAGTGAACTGCAGTCTAAAAACGTATTACTGATGTATCATTCAACAGCCTGATTTCTCACAGTGATATATTGATAACAATATGATGGTAACAAAACATCTAGACGTCCTGTTGAGAGCGATGTTTAGATAAATGTGTAAATCTGTGCTGACAGATGGCAGGTTATGAAGGCATTGTGCTTGTTCAAGCTCGGAAATTCACCAACAAAATGTTGACAATTGAGGGGATTAAAACTACACTGTTAATAAAGTTTGATTATAAAGTCTACTTTATAGTCAGGCTTTCATAGACAACCTGCACTAGGACGTTTAGGGGAGTTACATTTTTTTAGTTTGATTACACACAATGGCAATCAAAAGCAATTAATATATAAAAAGATTTTCATGTAATGCGACCTCTGGTGGACAGCCTCTGAAATGGGATGCAGATTCAGAGGTGGTTATTAATTAGCAGTTAAAATAAATATTTCAAACATAAACATTAGGAGAGCAGGTTACATTGTAACTCCGTGTCCTAACAACAGGCTACATAAAGAGTTTTGTGATGATTAGCAATTTGGCTGTTTGCACCAGACGACACACGACATTCAGAAGCACAGAATAGTGCACTCGCTGCACTACAACAAAATGGTAAAGCTTATAATCTAATTAATACATATTAAACCTCTTTAACATTATTTAATGTACATGCTGAATCCCTGATATGTGTTGGCTTGCACTGAAGTTCCATTTCAAATGGTTTATTCTATTTTCAAGATAATAGGTGAACTATCTGCTGCTGCTTCCAGTAGTGTGGCAATACATGTCTAGAAAAATAGCATTAAATCTAACATTATTAGCAATGAACACTGAATACATTGAAGCACATGAGGTGTACCTCATAGTTTTCAGTTGTTCAGCTAGAAGAAATAGAAGCCGTTTCTAAACTATAAATTTCAGGTGTTGGTTAGGAAAAAAACTCTTTTTAATATGGAAAATATTCCCTTTATGGCGTTGCTTTTATTTAGAACACGACTTAAATCAGCCTTTAGGCTCAACAGTCAGCTGTTGGTGTTGCTGTTGTCAATCTGGCAACCTGCACTTGCGTTTGTTTTGAACCAGGTGTACAATACCTACAGATGTCAAACTTATTGCATCTTTAATAGTATTTCTAACGAACATTTACCTTTTAACATCAAATTATAAAATCTAAATAACCTTAAGAGTGATTCATTTTTTAAGTGTTTATGACTATTTAAATTATTATGCTGTAATACAAATATTTTATTATCAGTGGTATAAAATGATCTCAAAATGACAATAATATCTCTTATC